AGATGTTTTTAAAAATGTATGTGCTGTGTATGTCCATGAAGACTAAAAGAAGGTATCGGATCCCCTGGAGCTGGACTTACAGGAGGCTGGGAGCTGCCCAACACGGGTGCTGGAAATCCAGTTCTCTGGAAGAGTAGCAAGTGCTCTTAACCATGAAACCATCTTTCCAACCCCACTTACTGATTTTTTTTTTTTAAAGCAGGGTCCAATGTTTCTCAAGCCAACCCCAAACTCATTATTATAGCAGAGGACGACCTTGAACATCTGAATCTCCCGCCTCCGCTTCTCAAGTGCTGGGATGACAGGTGTGTGCCACCGTGCCCAGCACATCTGGAAGCAGGGATCAAACCCAGGACCTCCTGCATGCTAGGCAAGCACTCTATCAGCTGAGCTACACAGGCACCCCCCGCCCTTCCATGGTTCTTTTTTCCCTCTCCTGGAGCACTTAGGCCCCTGAAAAATGAGAACCAAAAGAGCCGCAGAGCTGAGCGTGTGCTCGTTACTCTAGGTCCGCTGTGCGTTCTGGGCACCAACACACTCGGCCCTTGCTCTTAGGCAGGGCAAGCAGAGTGAACACTTCTCAGTCATGGAAACGGGCACACTGGGTGGCTAAACAGCTTGCCCAGGGTCCCATAGTGGTAAGCGACAGAGCTGGGACTCCAAGCCCCAGATCCCACGGTGCCAACACTCATCCAGATGAAGTTACTCTCAGTACAGTGCTGAGTACATGGTGGCATGTCCTGACAAAACGGAGCACATGAGCCAGCCTTGATTCCAGGGACTCCATCCATCCCCAGATCTGCCGCCCACACCCTCCCATTCTAAAGCCTGGTGTCCTGGTGCCTGAGATAGAGACCTGCAGCCGGCCTTCACTGGAGGGGACCCCACCGATGATTAGTGTTGTTCATAGGCAGGCACAAGGAGGCTGAGCAGAGCCACACCGGTAGCCGCGGATGGTGTGGGGTCTCTGGGCTCCCAGTCCCGTGACCTTGTGACTTTCTCAACCAAAGGTGCCACTGCCTTTCCTCCACATCTGATGAAACACGTTCTTACCGAGGCATACCGGGGCTTAAAGGGCATGCCGCCCATGGCCAAAGCCACACACCCAGAAGGATGTCCTGTAAGAAGCCTCCTCCCCTGCCTGGGTCAAGTGAGCTTTCCAGAGAGGCCATACAAGGCCCTATCGACCATCTCCTCACAGGACAGGGTCTCCCAGAGGACCTTTGGGCACCTGGTTCAGCAGTTCAGAAAGGAGGCTAGGAGACAAGTGGGGTCCCAGGTCAGAAGACCCTGGGCAGCAAAAAGGTCCCCAAACTACCATACCTCTACTTTTGAAAAAAAATTCATTTGTATTTCTTTTTTCATATAATTTGTTTTTTAATTTTTATTTTATGTCTGTTAGTATGTCTGTGCACTGCATGTGTGCAGCTCCCAAGGAGGCCAGAAGAGGGATTGACCCCATAGGACTGGAGTTGTGACAGTTGTGTGGCACCATGTGGGTGCTGGGAACTGACCTTCAGTCCCTCTGGAAGAGCAGCCAGTGTGCTTACCTGCTGACTGCGGAGCCAGCTCTCCAGCGCGCACACACCTTTGAAAGGAGAATGGATGGCCCAGTGGGTAGATCTCTTGCTGTAAGTTTCCAGCACCCTGGCAGCTCACAACTGCCTGGAACTCCAGCTCCAGGGGATCTGATGCCCTCTTCTGGACCCTGTGGACACTGCACTCTGTGCACACAGCCTCATCCAAACACACATAAATTTAAAAAAAAAAAAAATTTAAAAGAACTTTTGGCCAGGTGGTGGTGGCACTCTCCTTTAATCCCAGCACTCAGGAGGCAGAGGCAGGCAGATCTCTGAATATGAGGCCAGCCTGGTCTAGAGAGTGAGTTCTACGACAGCCAGGGCTACACAGAAACCCTGTCTTAAAAAAAAAATAAATAAATAAACAAACAAATAAGAAACATAAAAAAGAACTTCTGACTAACACTGAAGTGCTCTTCTTCGGGAATTCAGGATGTGAGTCTTGGAATCGGGTGAGCCTGGGTTCGAACCCCATCCCTCTTCTTCCAGGCTGTGTGGTTTTCAACAACTTACTTAACTTCTCTGAATCGGTGTAGCAGGAACAATAATTCCTGCCCTGGTGCAGAGAGATGCATTCAATGCTGGCTGCTATTGCTTGCAGCTAGGTTTTATTACGGTCCGGCTCTGGTACAGCACTTGAATATTCTAACAAATACAGTGTGTGTTCTCATCACTCCGTCAGAGACACTCATCCACACAACTCATCCACAACACTGCCTAGAGTCCACAACTCCACACCCGTTACACAAACCCCACCACGCACTCACCAGGTACCCGACCCTTCGCTGCCCTTAACCCTCACAGCAACTAACGGATGACTCTGTTTCGATTCTCTTTTCACAGCGCATGCACAGAGGCTGGCTGTACCCTGAGACAGGGATACTTCTGGAAGCTCTGAGAAGCTGAACACACCCCTCCCCCACCCCACCCCCACACACACTAGAGGAGGCCAACTCAATTTCCACTGTCATTTCTATGGCAGCCCCGAGCTGGGCCCCAAGTGTCCCCTGTCCTCCATCCCCAGGACAAAGGCTCTCAACCTGGCTTTCATGCCAGCTGTGGTTGGGGAAACCCCTGCTGCCTGCAAAAACCAACTTGACTTTGAAAAGGAAGAGACGGAAGCCAGAGGGAAGGGTGGCTGGGCCACTCCCTGTGGGGGCAGGTGCTAAGTAACTCTATAAACCCTAACTAACGATGCAATTACAGCCATAAACAGAGCCCAGGAGGGATCAGGGCCAGAAGCCAGACCCTCAAAGGGCAGCCAGGCAAGAGGGTAGGTCCCCTCCCACCTACTTCCCAGCATTCAGGAAATGGGGTGGGGGCAGGTGGCGGCTCACTGGTGATGGGATGGGCGGGCACTGGACACCCCCAGGGGTGCCTGAATGAACGCTTGCCTTCCCTGGCCCACTCCCTGCCCACCTCTGACTGAGTCACCAGGCCATCAACCCTAAATGCATAGTTGTTGCCTCTCTGTGGATTCAATGTTCACCTCATTCCATGGGGCCTGGAACCAAGAGACCTCCATCTAGATGGAACCATAGGTCTCCATCTAGCTCCACCTCCTAGGTGGACAGGGAATTTGTATTCAGCTGCAACAGGCCCTGTAAAGTGTAAGCAGTATCGGCTCCTCTCACACAGGAGAACCCCAAAACAGACCTGCCTTCATCACATGCTCTGTTTCTCAACTGTCCTATAACTAGGAGGCAAGCCAAAAGAAGGGAACCAAAAGAGCCGAGGGAAACTGAGGCACAGTAAAAGCTCCAGAGGCAGCAACCCTTCCCCTTCTACGGCCTCTCCTGGCTGGACGGTTACTATGGCTGGCTCTCTTTGCGGGAGGGCAGAGCCTGGGGAATGGCGACTAGCTCCCCGGCGAGGCACCAAGCAGCTACGAAGGGATTCGGCCACCGAGCCCAGCCTCCGCGTTCGGATCTGCCAGCATCTGCACCTGGCCGCCCTAGAGGAAACTGGAGATCCGTCCCCGCCCCAACATCACCCCCCAACAGTGCCTGGTCTGGGCCAGCAGAATCCGGGCCAGGGAGGGTGTAGGGGCCTCAGGCCCGGTCCTAGAGGCTCCCCTTCCCTGTGCAGCCCCTCACTCCGGGTCGGGGAAGGTGGAAGCCACACTTCCCCGGTGGACGGAGCCCTCAAGTTTAGTCCTGCGACTGTCACACTGAATAGTCCTCTGCAGGACCAGCGAAAGCTGACGCAGGTTGGGGAAGGGCGCCGTGGTGAGGGGCAGGCGCAGGATGGAGGGCGGGGGCCGGGGGAGCGCTGGCGCAGACCAGCCCCACCCGGGCGGGCGCCCTCCCTTCCTCCCCAGGGCGCGGGGCTGGGGCGCGCCAGGCGGCTGCGGCGCGAACCTGCTCGCGCAGCCCGGAGCAGCTCCGGGCAGCGGTGCGTGAAGCCAGAACCCAGAGCGCGGCGGGGGCCGAGGGGCGGAGACCCAGGTGGCATCCGCCAGCTCCCTTCCAGGAGGCGCTGGGCGGAAGAGGCGACGGGGTCCGGAGTTGGGGGGCGGGGGAGACGAAGGCACTGACCTGGCGGGGCGGGCTAGTCTGGGGTTGGACGGGGCAGAGTGAAGGGGGTAGACAGGGACAAGGGGGCGTATTTCCCGGAATTGGGGACCAAGAGGGTGGCTCAGGGAGGAGGGCAGACGACTGGAAGCTCAAGGAAGCAGAAAGCGAGACGCACAGAAGGTGCGACCCGAGTTGGGGTTCCCTAGGGTGGTGGGATAATGCAGGAGGACAAGTTTGCCGAGGACACCAGGGGCTGAAATCAGGGGTGTCTTTCTGCAAGAGACCCAGGAGGGAGACAGGCACCGAGGGAGGGAGGGATGGGACGTCCACACCACCCCCGGACACAGCAGCCCAGCCCACGGGGCGTGGCGCCTCTCCGGCCCTCCCACTCCCCCGCGACCATCCCGGCTGGGCCTGGCCCCGCTGGCCTTGATACTTGCACACCTCCCGGGGCCTCGGACTCCCTCCCCCGAGCCCCCCGCCCCCGCCGTATCGGGGGAGGGGGAGCGAGCTCAGGGCCCGAGCGTTCCTCCAAACTTCTGGCAAGTTCACTCCTGCGCCTCCCGCCCTAGCTCCGCTTAGCTTCCCCGGGCCAGGAAGGCCCGTGCCCGCCCCGGCCACTCCCGCCCCGGTTACATAAGGTCGCGGGGAGGCGGCCCCCTGCCCGGCCTGAAGGGAGGGGCCCGAGGGGCTCCCCGGCTGACGAGCTGCACCGCCGGGGCCACGCGCCCGGTACCCAGGGCTGCACCGGCTGCGGATGGGTGGCGGGGCGGTGCACCCTGTCCTGCTCAAGTCTGTACCCCCGTCCACCCACCCCACCTGTCTCGGGCACCCACAGGATGGGAAGTGCGGAGCTGGCATTCCCCAGTGCCCCGTGCACCCCTTGCCCCCTAGTCCCGCTCACCTCGCTTTGAAGGTCAATCTGTCCGCCGCCGGCGCCCTGTGGTTCCGGTAACTTGTCCCAAGTTCGGGTGCCGGGCCCCCGATCTTCGCCCGCCGCCCGCTCTCGGGCTCCTCGGGCTACGCGCAACCAGCCAGGCCCGCCCCGTCCGTCCTTCCCGCCGCCGTCGGCGCCGTCGCCGTTCTCTGCGTCCCGCCCGCAGCTGCCGCCTCCGCTGTCACCTAGCCCCGCGCCCGGCGCTCGGGCTCCGGCTGTCACTCCGCGCCCACTTCCCGCTGCGCCCGGCAGAGGGCAGCACCCGCCCCCTGCGGACCGCCCCCGGAGGCCTACCGCGGCGCCCGCTGGGAAACGTAGTCCCTGCCTCAGCCGCGCGGGGCTCGCCGGGACTTGCAGTTCTACTCTGCTGGCCGAAGTTCAAAGGAATCAAGTTTTGACTGTAAACGTTTGACCCCTTTTCCCTTTCCAGATTTTCTTTCTCTTCTCTATCAGTGATGTCCAGAGCTAGGACTTACTACATTATGACATCTTGTGAAAGGACTAAGCTACTTTTCCAAGAATGTGAGAAAGATACAGGGTCCCAGGCGGTCCCTCCTGGTTTGTGCAACAGGAGACACTCAGAATTGCCAGAGTCAGACTGAGGAGTTACCTTGTCCTTTCATAACGTCCACTTGGAGAGACTTTTGACTTCTTTGTTTAATAATAATAATAATAATAATAATAGTTGTTGTTCTATTAATTATTATTATTTTAGGATAAGCCAGTATGAAGCAGAACTGTAGTTTATTTTAAAATACATGTGTAAATAATATATATAAATAACACATATACTATATATATTTGTTTGGTTGGTTAGTTTTGTTGACAGGGTTTCTCTGTGTAGCCCTAGCTATCCTACTCGCTCTGTAGACCAGACTGACCTCAAACTCATAGAGATCCTCCTGCCTCTGCCTCCGGAGTGCTGGGATTAAAGGCCTGTGCTACCACTGCCCGACTTAAAAATATATTTTTAAATATATATTTAAAACACAGAGGTTAAGACAAAGACATGATCAGGGAAAGAATAGGCCCATCAGAGAAACTGGGTGTGGGTTTCTCATTGTCTTTTACGATAGCCAGATGTCTTGTTTTGGTGAACTCTGAAGTTATCTTCAGAGGACTGCTGAGAAACTTAAATAAGATCACCGGATGTTTCCTGAGGTGCCCCTGATAGTGTTACCCCTGACCAGGTAAAAGATCATGAAGGAAGTTAGGCTATCTTAAGTGTAAACAAAGCAGTCTTACTTGTCAGGTTCCCAGACAGCATCTGGGGGAGAGTCGAGGCCTTACTCCAGGGTACACATGCAGAGGCCTTACCCCAGGGTACACATGCAGAGGCCTTACCCCAGGGTACACATGCAGAGGCCTTACCCCAGGGTACACATGCAGAGGCCTTACCCCAGGGTACACATGCAGAGGCCTTACCCCAGGGTCCACATGCAGAGGCCTTACTCCAGGGTCCACATGCAGAGGCCTTACTCCAGGGTCCACATGCAAAGGCCTTAAGCCTGGTTTATTGTTATTTTTAATATTGTTTTATTTTGTTGAAACAGGGACTCACCAAATAGCTCTAGCTGGCCCGGAATTCCCTAGTGGATTATGCTGCCCTCGAACTCACAGAGATCTGCCTGCCTCTGCTTTCTGAGAGTGGGCCACCACTCCTGGCTTGTTTTTATAGCTCTTAATGAAATGATCTCTGTGTTGGCAGCCCTCACAGGAAATGTTCACTGTGCTAGAAGTCATGGTCCTCAGCTGACAGAAGACTTCATCCAGACTGCAGAATGAGGGGGACTCCTTTTCCCCTCAAGTCCTGCAATGTCCCCTATCCATCCTGTCTCAGGTTGGAATGGGGTGCATGACCTGGATCTTGCCCCTGTGTCCCTGCCCATATAAGAGGCAGTTGGAACGGTATCACCACCACCATTTTACTGCCCAGTTTCCAGTCTCCTTTCCTGTTTCTCCCTCCCACTAGAAGCTAAGGGCACTAAGATAGCATTCTTTCCTTTTTTCTTTTTCTTTACCCCTTCTCCCAATACGTCCTTTTCTCCACACCCCCTGCCCTTTTCCTCCCCGCCTTCCCTGTCTCCCTCCACCTTACCCTTTATTTTCTTCCTCTTCTTCTCTTTCTCCTCCTCCCCCCATCATGTGACCCCACCTTTCTGGGGCTTTCTAAGGAAGTGCAAGAATGAAGTCTAGAGCGACAGACCTCTCACTGAGCTGTCACAGAAAGCCAGGGAAAGAGCTGGCCCTCTTCCTCCCTCCTTCAAAAACAAGTCCTGGGGTTTAGGAGACTGGGTAAAAGTGTAGTCACCCTAACTCAGCATCAACCTTCTGCAGCCTTCCTAGAAATAAGCATCTTGCTTCCTCAAGGACCCACAACTCTTAGAAATGAACATGGGGACAACATCCTTCAGAAAATTCTAGTCAAAATCGATTCAAAGCTGAAGAGACAAACCCTTAGCTCTGTATCATGTCAGTCCTCAGACATGTTGCTAGTGGACATTCCTGTGCCTTGAGGTCAGTGGGGAAATCTGGGAAGTGGTTCAACAGAGCCTTTTCCGTTTGCCCATCATGTACAAAGCCCTTTCCTACCACCAGTCTTATCTCTTCAGAGGGAATCTGTGAAGAGGCCCTGAAGGGTACAGCCTGCCTCCAAGCCTGGCTTCAAACTGCTTCACTTAGCATCTCAATGACCCACCGAGAAACCTTGTGGCCACTGAGGTCAAAGTGGAACTTGCCCTAGCTCCCACAGTTGCCCGAGACCCAGGAATCTGACAGGTTACAACTGTGCCCAGCTCCCCCACCCCACACACCCTAAACACAAATGAACCAACAGGCTGGTCAATGGGGAGAACTATTTATTATTAAAGAAAGTCTAGGGTCCAGAAAGGGGAGACTGGATGTGGAGAGCAAGGACAGAGGTTAGGGGACCCCTCACAAGCGGGGGAAGGCTGAGAGGGGGAAAGGCACGGGGGTGTCCAGATGGCAAGTCTAGACGGCAGTGGCGAGGCCCACCCTGTTATTGCCCATGTCAAAGATGGCATAGTAAGACCTGAGGAAGACATCCCCAAGGATCCAGATGGGCTGGCCATCCTCAGAGGTCAGAGGGGAGGATTCAAGGCCCACCATGCAGTAGCCATCCTCCTGTTCAACAGAGAGAGAGCATTCACTCACTCGCTCACAGGTGGACTGAACGTCAGCCCGTGAGTGACACAAAGACCGTAAAGGGCTTTTGTAGGACAGCTGACCCTCCCTAGCAAGGGCTGCTGGGGCTTGGGGAGAGAGGTGGTGTCCCCCCAGTAGCTGACTTCAGGTTGCGATGCTCTTCCTCCACAGCCGGCCCTCCCCCTGCTCCTGGTCTACAGGAGGTCAGCCTGTTGAGCCCTGAAGACTGACCAGCTTGGATTCGAACCCTTACCCTAGCTTTTCTGGACCCACTCCAAATCCCGGAGGCTCCGCCCACAGAAACTAGGCCTTACCTGCATGATGTAGGAAGAGGGTGACAGAGGGAACTGGACACCGTTGAGGACAAAGCTGAGAGTAGGCAGGCTGCTGAGGCTGTCACAGCTCACAAAATACTGCAGAGAGGAACACGGCCCAGGTCAACACGTCCCCCTTAGAACAGTGCCCACCACACCTACCACCTCAGCACCCTACACCCTAGGTCCGAACCCCAGTCTGCTTTGGATGGGGCGGGGACACAGCTCCAAGGGAACCCTGACTTACATTCTGTTAGCCTTCAGTAACATTGGCATAGAGGGGGAGGGGTCGAGGAACCCCGAGGAGCCCACCAGGCTGAAGCTTTGCTCCTGACTGAATTTCCACTCCGAGAGAGAGAGATTGAATTGTTGCCCTTCCTCAGCAAGTGCCCTTTAACATACAGATCAGTGGGCCATGTAGCCAATCAGTACCCTCCAAAATTAGTGAGAATCGGTTCAGTAGGCAAACTCTCTGCTGCCCTTAGGATGGGGAGGAGCAGGAGAGGATGGGGAGAGCATGGCTCTGTGGAGGTGAAGGATGTGTGGATCACAGAGCTGTCCTTGGTCACCCATTCTCCTGGCCCTGACTTCTAGTCAGTCATTTTACCCCAATCCTAAAGGCCAGTGCTGAATCCATATTCCAAGGCGACTTAAGTTCGGAAGAGATTCTTGCTTTGCCAAACTCCCTCAGCTCCAGCATCCAGGTCTCCACTCTGCCAGAGCCACTACCCGCTAGTGCCCTCAGTAGCTAAAAGCCTGGAGGCCAAGAATTCAGCTAGCTTTGTGCTCCCAAAGAGAAACTGTAAGGAACACACACTGCCACCCTGCCACAGGATGGCCTTCCCTGAGGAAGGGGGCGCCCTGCTTATCGCACTCACCTCTCCATAGTCTCCTTCCTCGGCTCCGATGATCTGCAGAAGGTCACTCAGGTACTGGGTGGGCATGGTGAGCAGAGAGGTGCCTGTGTCCACAATGCCTTGACAGCCCCCGGAGCACCAGCCGGAGGCCTCGCCACCAATGATGAAGCTGGATGGTAAGAAGACAGCAACCTGGGTTCCCCCCTGCTCAGACAGTCAGAGGGGGCTTCCCACCACAGTGACACAGGGGGCTTCATGCAGAGACAAGCTGTTCTTGAGGAAGGTAAGGGGACCCCACTTCATAGCACCCTAGAGTCTATCCAAAGCCATCTGAATGGCCATGGAACCTATGTCCAAATTTTCGAGGACGTCTGTGGACACACTGAATCACGTCGGAGCCGCTGGTTGTTACAAGGACTCTGACACACTCAGTTTCTAACCTGTGGCGTTGGACCACAGGGGACCTCATATTTGAGATTTTATGGGCTGCCCCCTCTGGTGTGGCCTCGAACCCCTCTTCTCCAGATTCAGCTGGACTTTGATGCTCCTGCACAGGTCAGCTGTGACTTTGGGGGAGGGGGTATCTCAAAGGTCCTCTCCCGCCCATTCCCACCAGCAGTGCCTGCATGGATGGATGGTTTATAGTGTCCTGAGGTGCAGGTAGAGAAGGCTGCACTCCCCAAGGTCCCACGACAGACTCACTCGTCAATGCTAATCTTCCAGTAGAGCTCCTGGATCACAGGAATCCAGGTGATCTCCCCAGTGTACAGGTTCTCATCCACACCTCCAAAAACAATCTGACCGCCGTTAGATCCCTCCTGGCTGTAGAAGACAAAAGGAAGGATAAAGGATTGAACAGCCAAAGTCTTCCTGTGGTGAGTTAGCCATCTTAAGAGAAGAGCTCCGGATCTCACTTCACACGGAGGCTTCCTGAGGACAGTCTGTATTCCCCTCAGATGGGTTCCCCGTCTGGGCCTCTCAAAATCTCCATTGTTTCAGACCCCGGAGTCATGCTGTCCCATGGAGTCCCAGCCCCTCTGGAGGGGCAGCTACTTGGTGGGCCCCATCCGATACTACTGTCTTCTGCCTTTACCCCATGCCGGTGGGCGGAGCCCATCACCAGGAGTCCGTGAAAGCCCAGCTTGTTAACTTTTCTCCTGGAGTGGAGAAGTGGGGATTTGAGGATGGAGGAGGAGGAAAGACTTTGCACATTGCTCCTGGTGAACAGCAGCGTGTGGGCATGGGCGGGGTTCCCGAAGGTGATG